TTCCCAACTCCAAAAGCCTTTTAAACTATTATTTTGCTTACTTATTTTCTACAATGTTATTCAATTTATACTTATACTATTTATGGATTTAAAAAGAATGGCAATATGATGTAATATCTTTTCGGATATTTTGATTGGACTCTTTTTGGAAGAAGATTTCTCTAGTTCCAGAAAGTCCATTCTTATTATTCTCTAGTATGAGGCTGAGGTTTTTCAACGTGCATGAAATCAATCGAAGGAGGTGGGGAAAGGGTTTGCTGCGAGGTCAGGCCTTAAACTTATAGTTACACTCGGCAAATGCACAATGTGTGTAATCCCCGGCCCCAGAGATTTGGAATCTGGTCGGGCGGGACTGACTTTCGGTTGATGTGATATGGGATGCTGAGCCAAGAAAACCATTTTCACGACTCTCGCTCGACTACGATGATCGTTTTTTGTTGTTGCTCTGGGTTTTTTGCGGCCTCTTTTTTTTGTGGCAGTAGTGGGGCCAAAAACCTGCACAGGTAGTCCGGCTAACAGCTCTAAACCCGATTTTCCTCATCGCGTAATGCGTTTTTCGGGCTCGGACACGGGCCTCGAGAAAAATGTTTCATTTTGAGGTTTTTGCTTTCCTCCAGCCTTCTTTGATTGCAGTTTGGGGCAGCTTCTCATGGCTTAATTGGTTGGAAAGGGGCGGGGTGGTGGCTGGAGGGCGGGGCAGCGTCTTGGTCGATTGGCGTTTTGGGCCGTCAGCGTCATCGGCCATTGCACCGCATGCAGATGCGTTTTGGTGCCCCAAAGTCAATGACTCCTGAGGCATTTTCTGTGGGTCCGAAAGAAACGCTTGACAGATTTACACACCAATGCGTAAATCACACAGAACCAAATTAATATCCCCATTTAATTAAATTGCATTAACTTTATTTTCAAAATTTATGAATCAGTTTCAAGGCAATGTGTAAAAATATATTTGTCTCAATATTATTACAAATCGAAATTGGTATTGGACAAGCTTTCCAATTTCGTTTAGCTAATTGTTTTAAACTTACAGAAAATACTACTATTTATCAGAAACATTTGTTATTTTAACCCTTTTTTGAAGATTGCACAATATCTGTATTCATATAAGCATTACTAATTTCAAATGACCATTTGGCTTGTGAATAATTATTGTTTATCGAACTAAAACTTCGACCTTTTAGTAACGCCTGGGAAAGCGGCGAAATGCAAACCGCCATATCCGAACGATCCGCTGATTAAGATTCATGGGTGATCTGATAGCACCAGCATGGCTTTTCGAAAAGGTAAACAACCCTTTTTCCAGCCTGGAGCTCCAAGGAGTTTCCTTTTACTGAGAGTCTGACCCTCATCCCTGATGGATCATAATTAATGTCAAATAATTGGCGGAAATTTGTTTGCCATTTAATTGTTGGACTTTCACCACCCAGGCCGCACGCTTCCCCCTTCTCTTTTGCATTTCCAATTTATTTTCACAATTTCTCAATCAATTCCCTTTATTGACCAAGATGCGGGCGCAGCCAGCTAAATTGTTGAATTGCAATTGCAACATCTCGTGTCTTTAGTTTTTCGGCTTTCCCACTTTTCCGGCGGGTCATTGACTCCCGTTTTATTTGGTGTTTTTCTCGGGAGCGGCGCGAATAAAATGAGCGAGCGCATAGCTTTTCCGCCATTCCCACTCCCAACGGAAATCCAAAAATAGTGCGTGTGTGGGTGCGCCGCTTCCACCCAGAAGAAAAACATGAGAAAATAAATAGACCCCAGACGACCTGCATCTTTGGGCCGCGATCGCTATCGGCGATCGCCTTTGTGCTCCGTCCAGGATTCGCGGCGTTCCCACAAAAATGGAATCCTTTGTTAAGGATTTTTTTATATCAAAATCGAAATCAAGGAAAAAAGTCAGGGTCGCAACAATAGGGTCCAAAGGGGCAGCCAAAGTCAGAAATCGCTTAAGGTTAACACATCGCAAACAATGCAGGAAATCGGGGAGCGGGACAAGTGTCGCGACCACGACGAGGGTAGGGAAAATGGAAAACCTGTTTGTATCATCTTGTATCTCTTCTGGACAGCCTGTACCTGCCGCTGCGATGCCGAGCCCTATCCTAATTGAGGGTTGGGGCAAACAGACTCCGAGTTTCCACGCTCTCCACGGATGCTGAGTCAGCGGCAATTGCTAAAAAATAAATAAAATAGGGAATAGGGAATCGCCGAGGGATCGGCATCCCGAGAGCTGCAAGATCGCGTAAGCACCGGGGATCGAACAATTAACAACTGCAGGTCTGCAGGTGCCGAAGACAAACAGCAAAAGTCACATACTCCAAAACAGACGGCGCACAATGGCCACAAGAGTCAGAAAGAAAACATTAGCCAAAGGCGAGGGAAAGAGGAAAGCCGAGAAAACCAAGGAAAATGCTCCAGGGGCGGGGGAAAAGGTCCAGGGAAAACACAATGAGGAAAACTCGGCGACGGGACATGCGAGTGCACATTTTCGTCTATAAAATTTATTCGCATTAATCGCCGTCAGAGATAAAATTAACGAAAGAATGGACAAGGACGTGGACGCTGGCTGGGGTGCGGGGTCAGGGGTCAGGGTCGGGGCTGGGACGTCGAGTCCTGGGATGATAAGGCAGCATTGACACCTTGGCCCAGGCAGCAGGTAGAACCTGCAATAGCCAGGCATCCTGCGTCCCCCGATTGCGTGAGTTGTCTTTTTGTGAGTGCCCCTGACTAAAGAGCAACGAATTTGCAGTCTGAGAAGTCCTTATAAGGAACCCAGATAGCAGGACTGTACCGAAAACACTGGGAAGCATAAAAAACACCGATGTTTAATAATACTAATAATAATAGCAGTAGTTTCTTTTAGTACGGGCACATTGCAAAAAGTTTTTTTACTTATTCTAGTAAAACTAAATTGTTGTCATGATATCGTTGATTTGAATTTATAAAGGATTATTTTATTCCAATTGGTCGTTTACGAAAAAACTGAAAAGTTTCGAATAATTTATTTAATTACTTTACACATTTTTGTAGGTAAGGTCATTTGTATATATTTATCATAAAGAACAAATGGTTTTTGTAAGAGTTTATAGTTGTAGTTGCAATATGATCTCGTATTTTATTTATTTATTTATTTACAAACTGCTTGCTTAAAGTTAAAACTAAAGCAACAGGGGTAGGCAGCCATAGCTACTTAGGCTTTAGGCTGGCTTAAAGTCTATAGTTCAATTTTCTATTCGGTTCTTAATTACTAAGGGTATAATTCATTCATGGTATTCGCTTTCGGTTTGGTCTTTTCGTGTTAGTTTGACTATTTCTTTAGCTTTTGTGTAGTCGCTTATGTTAAGATGGTTGCTGTTTATGGATTGGTACCAACTGGAGGGATCTCGTATTTTATCATATAATCTTATGTTATAAGCTAAAAAATAAATAACCTTTTAAAGACAAAAAGCAAACTCTATAAGTTTATTACAGCTCAAACAAAAAATGCATAAAATGAATTAATTAATTTCATTAGTAAAAGGAATAATATATTACAGTACGATCCAGTTTAATGTGTTTCAAAAAAATTACTTTCTATAATATTGCAAAAGATTTCATTTTTCATCTTATAATACTAATCTTATAATAAGTAGCGTAGCCTTTTAGTTTATTACAGCTACCACAAAGAACTTAAGTAAATTTAATAAAAGTAATATCATCCAATGCTACTAACCATTTCTATTTTACAGAAATTACATCCAACAGTTCGGCCACTGCTTAATAATTTGCATTATTGATTGGGATTACAGTGATGACCTCCATTTTGTACGATTTTTCCAGAGTGTGCCCCCGTGTCTATTTCCGTAGTGGGCCTGTCCCACCGCGGTGGTTCGGAGATGGCAATGGACCCCTGTCCCCCGGTGGGTCGGTGGGTGGCTGGGTGGTTGGGTGGTTGGACTGGTGAGGCAGCACCGCAAAGTGGAATGAAGCGTATGCGTGTGTAATTAAGTGCGCAAAAAGACGCAGGAGGCTGCCGAGGCAGTGGGCGGTGGTGTGGGCGTGTCCGTATATCTGTATTTATGGGACACACTTACATATGTATGCAAATAGGAAAACCATGTTGTTGTTGCTGTACTCCTTGAAGGTTGTCGGTGGTGGCTGTGTGGGTGGGTAGTGGGGTGATAAAAATGTTGATGTAAATTGCAAAAAGCAGTTTTTATGTCCCATTGCCACATTTTCAGAGGGGGGCGGAGTAAAAAGCTGAATGCCTGTGAAGTGGTGCAAAATATTATAAATACTCGGGGGTGGAGACTGTCGGGTGGTGGGTGGAATGGGTGGGTGGTTGTTTGTCCTACTTGCTTTGATGTACCATTGTTTGCTTTAGTTTCGCTGTCTTCCAACATCCCATTTTTTACATTTTCTAGTCTATAATTGGCACACGGCCCTTTTATGGGGGGTTGCCAGTTTTGCAAGGTTGCAGTTCAAATATATAAGTTTAAAACCATATTTAAGAAATGACGGTCAGAAAGTTTTTTACACAGAAGTGTCTTAAAAGGAAACCGCATCGGGAATAGTGATTGCCTATACAGCCTGTATTGATTTGACCACTTTTTTTTACACATTTTGGTTCAAAAACTGATTATTTGTTGACTTGGAATTGATTCAGATAAACAATGAAGTGTTTCATACAATTGTGGACCCCAACTTTTCCTGCTAATTCCAAGAAAATGTATTTTTTATTTTTTTATACATTTTTAAAAAGCATGTTTTAGACAATAAAAAAATTTAACAAAGGATGAAATTTTATATATTTACCATTATTTTTCAGAACACAAATTTTTGAATAGGAACAATCTAAAGTCTTTATTTTTTGTTATCCTAATTCAAACGCAATTTACGGTCCCTTGCGAAAGCAGCCAACACTTTTCCGTAGTGTTGACTAAATGGCAGTAGGCAGTGCAAATATCTTGGCTGACAGCGCGAATGACAGGGAAGAAAATTTTTTCACCTTACAAATTGTCCCGAAAAATCAGAGCAAAACTTTCACCGTAATCCAAATTGCTTTTCTAAGCGAGTTCAACGGGTAATCGGTGGACAATTGGCGCACAAAGGTGATAACAATTCTATAGTGCTGAACAATAAGATAAATTGGCAGAATGGTGAGTACATTACACGATTTTTGAGGAACCCTCTAGAAAAGCGTATTCGGCAGGCCTATCACAAGCCCCTTTCCGTGAAACTGAAGCTCCCGAACCGCGTCCAGCCGGAGTTTATTCCTCAACCCGGAAGAGAAGGCCAGTATACCAATAAGATACACTACCTTAAGAGGCATTTACTGGACGAGGTCAGCAAGAAGAAGTTTGCACTGGACTTTTTGGAACCAGTTGACACGGAGGCTCTGTTGGTGCCCACGTACTATACCGTTATTGATCGCCCCATGGACTTGGGAACCATCCTGAAAAGGGTGCAGAACAATTACTACAGGTCCGTAGAAGGGCTCATCGCAGATTTTCAGCTTATCATCCGCAATTGCTTCAAGTTCAACCAACCGGGCGACATGGTTTTCCGCAAGGGTCAGATGCTGGAGAAGTTCTTTATGAAGAAGGTCAAGGCCATTCCCCCGGGTCCGGAGATGCCCTGCAACAAGGATCCCTTGGCGGGGGGCCGATCCAGAGGTAATGCCAGAATGTTGGCCAACACCGCCCAAACGGAGCGCATGTGCCGAGATCAATTGAAAAAGTTGCAGCACTTCACCAATCAAGTGGATGCCACGGCCCGTAACTTCTTCACTGGCAAGTGGGATTCGTTGACCAAGAAGCTGGACAAGCACTACTTCAAGTCTTTTGGTGAGTTTCGCTCACATGTGGATGATATCTTCCGGAAGTACCACGATCCGGCCAAAGCTATCTACGAAAAAGCCTTTCTAAAGCCAGAACCTTGGACCGCTGCCCTGATTGCAAATCCCAGTTCCTTGGGCTGTGCTGTGTTGGCTGATGCGGATCTAAATGAGCTACTGCAAGCCGCTAGGCTGACTGAGAATGCCTTGGGGCAGTCCCTCCAGACGCAGGGTTCCTGGGAAGCATCGAGGACAAGAAGTGCGGTTGAGGCCCTGTGTGCCAGTGTAAGCAAGGTGAAACTAAAACTGGAGGCATCCAGACCAAACCCTCTAGAGGAATCATCAGGCAGTCGCAGTCAGAAGGATGAACTAAAAGAACTCAAGCCAGCTCGGGACCTGCTCAACAGCAGCGAAGTGGACACTATCATGGCAGTGAGCTTCGAGTCCTCTGATGAAGAGGTTAACGAAGCCCAAACAGAGCTGGCCAATGACACGGATATAACTGCTATTCAAAAACTATTTTCCAAACTTTCATCCCCAGAAATGAGGGAGATTATCCACTTGATCCAACAAATGGAAGGAATATCCAATGAGGGAGGCGCCGATTTTGGCTTAGATATGTCGGGCTTCACACAGGGCACTTTGGACCTGGTGAAACAGATCGTGATCAAGGCGGTGAGGGCCAATAGTAAGTTGAACCTCAAGGACATGCCGCCTTCGGAAAAGGACTGCCTGCAGCGCTCGCTGCAAAATCAGCTGGTGGATATTAACCGGGTGCTGAACAAAAATCAGCGCAAAACTTCCATTTCTCTGATCAACCTCAGGGCCAATCAGAATAACGTCGCGCGGAAGAGACCATGTGGCCCTATGGCCGCCAAAATGTATACACCGCCGGCAAAGCTTAGTGCTAGAAAACCTGGTGCTGGAAAGCCTGGTGCTGGAAAACCTGGTGCTGGAAAAGCAGGTGGTGGAAAATTCGGAATGGGTATTGGAGTGGGTGTCGGTGAGTGTCGCAATCTAAGTGACACCAGCGATGATGACTGCGCTGAACCTAGTCCGCAGAAAATGACTTTTGGCTCGTCTATGTCCTTGGTTGCTAACATGATGAGCAGCAGCTTTGGCAACGTTTCTCAGCAGGGATCCAAGTTGAGCAGCAGCTCCAGTTCCAGTTCCAGCTCGAGGTCCGGTTCAGGTTCTAGCTCGGGTTCCAGTTCGGGCAGCAGCTCCAGTTCCAGCAGCGATTCCTCGGAATCTGAGGACGAAGGACATCCCCTTACCAAAGGCCGATCGGGCATTTTTCCTTAAGACTTTTAGCCCTGTTTTAAACTCTTTCACAATATGTAAAACACTTCTTGCATTTTTCCAATAAAGAGCTAAAAAAGATTGTGAAAATACATGCTATAATTTATTTCTATGTGGTTACAGAACATATTTTTCTAAATTTTTAATTAAGGGCATATGTATAAAACTTTGCAACAAGGTATATATATGAAAAATACATTTCATCCAAAATCGAATTACATTTTATCCCACGTAAATATCAATTAATTTGGTTATAACGAAAGCGCTCATTCTAAAAAACTCTATTTTACAAGAAGTCATTGACACATACCAACAAAAATAACAAACGGATGGGAAAGGGAACTTGTGATCGGAGATAATTGATGTAGGATCTCCGATCTCGGCTGTCTTTGCAACGATCACGTAGCCGGCAAAATTTTCACGAAAAATTATGCAAATTTTCCAACTTTCTCACGATCGCAGCCAAAAAGGAGCGAGGAAGGATGCTCGCAGTACCTGACACCCAGCAGCCAAATTAAAGCGGAGATCACGCAGATCTCGCATCTCGCGGCGGAAGGAGTTTTCCACAAGCAGGGAAATTTGCATAAGATTTTCACTTGGCGAATAAAGGGTGAGGATGCACTCTCATTTGCATAAGAGGCCCCGACTTGCGAAACTGCCAAAAGGACCAAACGAAAGTGAAAATGGGAATGAAAAGGGAAAAAGGAAAATGCCACAGACAGGGGTTAATTACAGGCACAGTGGACGGCGCCTCGTTCACAGCATGCCGACACGCTCGCACACCTGAGTCCTTCGTCCTGAGTCCTAGGTCCTTCGGAGAGTTCAGCAGGGGGTTGAAGAGGGACGGCACTAGCGTCGCTCATTTGCATAAGGTCCACATGAGATGTGCATGCAATTTACTTGCCCAAAAATTATGTAAATCACTCGTGCAAAAAGGAGACTTTCTCACGCTCCTCGCTCAACTCCTTCGGCGATGTCCTGGATTTGGAGGCATCGAGGTCATAAGTGATCAACGATTTCGGGGTGCGGTGTTTGGGTTTCCGCACACCGGGCAACAAATCAATTTTGATCGATTTTAATTTAGCCTTCGATTGATTTGGTCATTTGCATATTCAAGGGATTCCTGCGTTCATCCTGATTATTATGCAAATTATAAATCCTAGAGTTCCTCGACTGAGGATATAAGAAACTAATGGACATTCTTATAGAAGGGTTAGAAATACCTTTTTGCGATAGGTTTGATTTATGCGAATTTCTAAAGTAAGCTCTTTTCTTCTTTTCTAAGATTCAATGAAAGTTATTTAAGGGAAATTATACTCAAGCGAAGACGCTTTTTTGGTTAAATATTTCATAAACAAACGTATTATGAATCTTTTTACATATTTTTTAGCGGAGTTCTTCAGTAAAATTTATTTAAGTGCTTTTTTTTATTATTTGAAAAATCGTTAAAATAATTGGAAAATCGTATGCCAACTTCTCTCTTCTTTCAGTATGGTTTTGGCAGCAAATCGCACATGATTCGCTGTTTGAAAATCCCCTTCACAGCCAAATCACCACCACCACCCAGCGCACACAACCCCTAAAACCCTGGGAAACTTGCGAAATCGCCACTGCCATTCGCCAAAAAAACCAATCGAAGAGTCATCGCATGTTTGCAAAAATTGCAAGGAGCAGCCAATGCGATTCGTTTCCACTCCCCTTTTCCAGGAGCAACCACCGGAGCCAGAAGGAATTTTCCCGCTGCCCCCCGGAAGCAGGATATGAACTTTGATGTTGCCACTACACTACCAACGGCAGACCATAAAAAAATCCGCAAAACGAGGGTTGTCTCTCGTAAAGTACTTATCGAAAACACCCCAAAACACCCTCCCTCCGGAGCGCACGCACGCACACACTCGCAGTGTGCATTATTAAAAGTGGATTGTGCGTGTGCGTGTGCGAGTGTATCTTGTATCTGGCAATTTTGCAGCAACAACAAAGCGCGACGGGCCACATGCAAATTTTTTGTAGCAATCGCCCAGGGGTTGAAAATTAAATGAACGAGCGAGCAAAAGGAAAAAAACCGGAAAATAAAGCCAAAGCTGCAGCAGACGTCGCCCAGACGTGGAAACCTTACTATATTATATATATATATTTATATCACCAACCCCCCAGATGGCCCTTCTGACATTCTTGCCGTTGTTGTTGTTTATGCTAAAAAGCGTTAAAAATGCGACAGGAGCTTCCACATTTCCTGCAATATTTTCCTGCTCTACTTTGGCTTTTCGCGTTGCGGTTTCCAAGGGGTGGCCATTTTTTTCCCGAAATGAACTGTCTTGGCACTAAGGATTTCACCCAGTTCAAAATAATTGGGTTTATTTTTTTGAGGACATTTGGAGGGGAAAATCCATTTTATAGCAGACATCTTTGCATTTTTCACATAGTTACCAATTTTGATGTTATTAATATCGATTCGATACTTCGAAAAGTAAGCTGAAATAAATCAATGGTACTTCAAAAGTTAGTATTAGTAATTTTGCTTAAAAGTTCCTCTGCCTATAGTTACCTATAATTACTACAGTTTTGTTAATTTTTTGGGAATTGTTATTTTATCAATTATAGTTGATTAGGATTCTAAAGAGAATTTTATTAATTCCATCCTTTAAAGGTACAAAGGTTGTTAGTGTCTTAAAAATTCGGGAAAAGACGCCTCTAAATAGTTGTAAAACATTTTTGGGCTTCATCGCAAAACTGTAGTACGGCATATAAGCAATTTTTAGGCATGTGTATCAATAAACTCTTGAAGATATCTTTATTTAAAACATTAAATGTTGTTACTCTTTTCAATCAGCGATTTCACAAATGCCACACTTTAGGATTACAAATTAAGTATGCAGATATGCTTATAAATATACGTCTATATTAACATAATTTAATGCACATTTCTAAATTTGTTACACAATGCAAAATTTTATTGATACATATTTTATAGGATTAAAATTACTTCATAATTAATACTTCATTGTCTTGATAATTATCACATTTTCTTCCAGTGCTCGATCTTTATTCAGGAAACGTGAAAATGTTTAGACGATGGAGACCAGACAGACTTTTCTTATCGCACTCGGATTTGCAACTGTCGCTTTTCATATGGAAACCCGCGGAGAAACAAGAGAAGAAGACAGGGAAAACGTGATGTCTGTAAACACCCAGGACAAACATTCGCTGCTATCATATTTGGCATAAATTACACGCCGTACGCCATTTCCAGCGACCCTTGGAAGTGCGGGTGTTTTGGGGAAGGGAAAGTATCCCTCGGATTCGTTTTCAGTTTTTTATGCGACATAAACAACGCTCGAGGAATGGGAATATGTTCGTAGGAGAAGGCAGCGAAAATGAAAATAGATATACGCGCACTCGTCGCGCTTCACACGCGCAGGGATCGTTCCCTCTGTCGAAAAGGATCCAATTACAAAAGATGTCTGGGAACTTTGACTCGAACAAAGCAACATGCATTCGAAAACCTAAAAAAAAAAACGAAAAACCAAACAAAAACTGTTTGAATTTGTCGCATTTCGAGGCCTTTGTTTCCAAAAAGGACAGCGTGTGTCAGTCGCTCGAATCACTCGAGGCTATCGATCCTGGTTTCACTTTCGTCCGCAGATCCTTGGCATTGTATTCAATACTGGTAGTTGGTCCTGCCAAGCATGTGCCAGAGCGAGAAGGAGCAACGCTGACCATGGCCCTGACTTGTTGACCTCTGCGGGCAAATTAGCCACACTCAATAATGAGATACATTGCCCACAGAGATGATCAAAACTGATGAGAAATTGATGCGTATAGGGGTCTTTTCATACGAAAAAGGAATAGATTTTATTTTTGAGGTGGTAGTGGGATATGTTTAATTTAAATTACGTATTTATTTTATATTTGTTATAAAAAAAAAATAATTAATGTCCTGATTCTATTAAAGAACTTCAAAAAAATTCGAAGAACCAATAAAACAATTCATTTTAGTTGTTAAGATTAGATATTTGATTAGAAAAGGTGAATAATTCAATATTTTATAAAGAGGGACCAAAGATTGTTATATTTTAAGAGGGGTTTATAAACGCAGAATATATATATGAATTTCATTTAACCAATTTCCAATCGTAACCTTTCATAGGTGATTTTTAAAGCTATGTAAAGGGCATATACAACTTTACCTTCCTCTGGAGGTTCGATGATCGCCGTGCTGTCGTGGCAATTATGCAATCCCAGGCGGCGTGGCCAGCATTTGAATTCCGAGTACCACGATCGTAGCCAAAATCGTGATGTGGCTCCAGTTTTGTTGGCGTAGGGCCGCCGATCCCAAAAACCAACGGCGAAGAAAACACAAAAACCACACGAGGCATGCAACAAATGCGTGAGTGTGCGAGTGTGCGTCGCTGTGTATCTGTGCATCCACAAGTTCGAGTATCTTGTGTTTTTACCAATTTCCCCTTCTTCTGGGAAAGCCAAGATGGCGACCTCGCTATCGCCCCCTCCCCACCTCCCCCTGCTTTTCCTTGCTCACTTTGTTGTCGTTCTTCTTTGGCGTTTTGTTGACATTACCAAAAATGTTTTATCGCACTGCCGCTGCAGTTGCTGCCGTCTCTTTCTGCGCCGCCTCTACCCGTCTCCCTCCCCCGCATGCACATGTGCAGCGCATTTTCCCGAAAAATTAAATGCAACATTGCGTCGCCGCGACTCAATTGCGTGGTTAATGCTAATTATTTGTTATTCCACAGGCGAGAAGCGGCGGAAAATGCAGGAAAACGGGAAAAACAGAAGTGGAAAACACACATATTTTGGAAGACACGCACATGGGACGTGCAATTGCTGGCGATTTCCGGCCGCACAGCGCCGAAAAAATAATAAAACTGAAAATAGATGGAGCTGACTGTACCAGCGAGCACAGTTTAAATTGGCTATAATGACCTTCGGTGGTTAAACTAGTTTGTAGCTCGGAAACTATTATAATTACAGGTCTCGGTAGAAATTATT